TGTTGCGTGTTCGAGAGACTAGAGACGAAGAGTGAGAGTTAGGCGGAGAAGCCGGATGACGAGCTAGAGGGCAAAGGGTGGTCTTACAGATGGACACATCACACCAGTGTTGAATGATATAAATATTACTATACATTAAAACTAACAAAAAATCAATAAAATAAGGTTGATCGTTCAGATGGCTCTCCTTCCTGCGTATCGAACTCAGGAAGGAGAGCCATTTGAGCGATCAACCTAAGAGAATAAACGGGTAGGCTCAGGCTGCCTTTACCTACCCATTTATTAAATCACTATATGAGCGGGCTGACAGTGAGCCACACTCTTACAGCGTAGGCTGTATGCACTCAGTGAAGCATTGCTATCCTATTCTACCATAAGGGCGACTTTCAGAAAATAATCCAAACCACATCCTCAAAATACGCGGACGAAACCTCACCTCGAATAATCGCGAAGAGAGTGATTAGACTGTGAAACTCAAGAAAGGCTTTCTGCTCTTTTGTTCACATTCCTAATTGGAATCGCGCTTGCAAAGACTATGGAACTCTAAAACAGCCTAGTCGTGTTCAATTTATGTCCATCGGTGCGAGGTTTGCGCTTAATCGCTATGGAAAGCGCGGATCACTGAAGATGGCAAAGTGCCAGAAGCGCCGCGCGCGACACGTGCCGCGCGGGTGTTGTAGGGATAGAAGCTGCTCGCGAGCCGTTGTCTCGTCCAGCTACAGTATGATGTCGCCACTGTTGCCACGCGCAAATGTCTCTAACTTCTTTATCGCGCCGTTTTGAGGGACGAAAGTGGTATGTTCTTTGTGAACGCGTATAACAGTTCAAAAGGCACGCAGTCATTTTGAGGACCACGGGGACCTGTCTTTAAGGGGAAAGTATGCGAACCTATTGATTATCAGAATTTTCGCCTGAGCCCAGAGCGGGAGGAGCTCAGAGGTGGTGACCCAAATTCGTTGAAGAAAAAGTGAGTTTCGCATCAAGGCGGTCTTAGTTTCGAATGGGGGAGCTTCAAGTGCCTTCCCCCATTTATCCTACTACATATAATCAGCTATGCTCGTGTGTGTATGTGGATGTTTGTATGTGTGTCTGTCTGTCAGTCTGTCGCAAAATTCATAGCACCTGAAGAAGGCATGGGACAATATATAAGTAGCATCCGTGACCATGATAAGCCACGCACACAGTCGGCGGGGGTGCGTCGAAAGTTGGCATGCCACTGAAAAAATCATAACTCGGTTCCAGAGCAGTCCCGAGATGGGGAACAGTGCAATAAAGTTAACAAAGGCTGACAGACCAAATGGAGGAGACACACCCGAAATGGGCAAGGCGTGCTGGGCTGGGCGGCGCTTCCGTGTCACTGAAAAAAGCCATAATTTGGCTACAAAGCAGCTCGGAGACGGGAAAAATGGAATAAGGTTAGCATGGGTTGGCAGAGCAAATGGAGGAGACACACCCGAAATGGGCGGGGTGTACTTGAGATGGGCGGTGCTTCCCACAAAGGTCGGTAACTCGGTTTCCCGAAAATGTTTAGAGATCGCAGAAAAGTCCATGACGAAGATGAACATCTGGCAGGAGCACTATGTCTGCGGCGTGCTGAGGTCCCCCCCCCCACAGTGAGCGGGGAATGCATTTGAACACGGGCCACCAGTTCAAAAAAATTGCAGTTTGGTCCTAAAGCAGCAGACGGCGCAAAGAAGCGGATTATGGTCTCCAGGATCATGTGTTGGAATGTGCGAGGCACACGTTATGGGCGGAGCGTGCTCCAGAGGTGGGTGGAGCCAAATTTAAAAAATTCGCAAAACGGTTCCAGAGCACTCCAGACACCGGGAAGAAGTAGTTTAAGATCAGCGAGGGGTCATCGGTTCACAAGTGTGAGGCACAACCGCTGTGGGCGCAGCGTCGTCGAAGTGGCGAAGCCAGTTTTAGAAATTCCTAAAAAGGTTCCAGAACACAGACACCGGGAGAACGGATTAGGTCACCGAGGAGTCATCAGTTGAGAAGCGCGAGGCATATGTTGTGGGCGGAGCGTGCCCCGAGGTGGGTGGAGCCAATTTGGGAAAATTCGTAAAACGGTTCCAGAACATTCCAGAGAGCGGAGAAAAGTATTGTAGTTCAAGATCAGCGGGAGGTCATCGCTTCACAAATGTGAGGCATAACGTCGTGGGCGGAGCATGCGGTGAGGGCGGAATTGCAAAAATTCCTAAAACGGTTCCAGAATACTCCAGACACCGGGAAGAAAGTAGGTTAAAGTCATCAATAGGTCACCGGTGCACAAGTGTGAGGCATACCTGTTGTAGATGGAGCGTGCGTCAAAGCGGACGGAGCTAGCCTTGGAAGTTTCTAAAGCTGCTCCAAAGTACTCCAGACACTCCAGATCTCCTCTGTGATACGGCCCGGACTTGCGAATCATGGCTCTATCGCGCCTACCTGCATTCGTATGATCAAATGCTCGACTAATACCCGGCTTTTCTCTCATCTGTCCACTTGATCAACGCTCCTTACCACCATTCCATACACTGTAATAGTGTTGAAAATAGCAGGTATGATGCTATTGGTCAAAGAATGTTGACCATCTGTTCAGATGAAAGAAAAGCCGGATACTAGGTGGGTATGAAATGTGTGGAAGAAGGTAAGCGCGGCGGAACCGCGCCCGCCCGGCGAAGCTGTGCTGTATCTCGGAAGGAGGCGCGCCGGCGTCGACCGAGTAAACTGCAAAAGAATATGCAGATTCTAGTACGCGAATATACCCAGATCTTTTAGCATCCTTCGGACATTCACTGGTACGTTCCTGGATAGGGTACACAGACGCGGACGAAGAAGGCACTGTAACAAGCATAGATTCCACGCCAACCGTTCCGTATGGGTGAGTCACTTCACAATGACTATGTTTTCCTATGCGTTACAAGGAGTGCTCTGGTACAGCTGTCCATCGCCTCCGTCGTTTTGACCGGATCGTCGTTATCAGGGACCTGAATTGGTTTGGAGTGCCTTTATTTGCATTGTGGAGCACCAGGAACCTTATCGTTCTTGGCCAGTTGCAAACAGCCACAGGAGCTTGGAACGGAATAGCAATTCCAATGAACCGGTCAACCTATCAAGGCTCCGTCAGTTCTGTTACTCTCTCGATCGCGTATAGATTGGAAATGCGAAACCGTGAGAGAGGTCCTAGTATGTGACATGCGTCTCATAAATCCAGAGTGACTGCAAAAAGTCACTTGTTATGGTCATGTACCCATTTCTTATTCAAATTCACGACTTCGCACGCGCGCGGATCAAAAACGCTAAGCAACTTATCAACGAATAGCGCAATTGCGTTAGAGAATGTTAGTGTGGATTAATTGTGAATTGTTTTTAGGATCGGTTGATAGTCTGGAAGTGCAGTCAGGAGCGAATATGAAGTTTAGCAATCTTTCGACAACCTTTGGCTCTATTTTACTATCGAAGTGCTAAAAATCGCTTGAGCTGCCTCCATACCATTCGAAAGGTGGAGTAGTAGCAAGTCTCAGGCAACGGAGATCTACGAATAGCGCTTTTGAACTGATTTCGAAGATTTCGGCACTATTCACCCATTTTACTGCCCAGGCTATCTGAAATCAGCGCCAGTGTCCCGACCCCGGAGTTTTTGTCTTTCGGTGGACAGATTCGATGAAAACTTTGGCTCCAGGGGTAGTGTTGACTCGCTGAAAACACGATTACCGACATCGCGTTAAGCCCGGACCGTCTAGGCGCACCCGCGACCATCGACCGGCTGCGCGCAAAACCTAGACGAAAAAACCTGGCCGCTAGCGCGGTAGTTTGAGCCTGCTGATCACGCAGAGATGCATGAGTTGCCACGCTCGAGCGGCCACAAACCTCCTGGCGGGGCCCGGCGCATACAGTTGCTGAGCGCAAAACACCATCTCAGCATCACCGCGCTAGTGGGGACGCAGCGCGCCCAGGGGGTTGTCATGGCATATGTGAATTCATATTCGTTTTCAGGGAGGATCAAAATACCCTTAGGGAGGGACATGACATTTTTAGAGTCAATCTGCTTCCGAGGGTCGGTCGTCATTGTCTGTTGTGGAAAAAAGTGGTGCCGATTAGAGAGATTGGGGCCGTGGTCATGGAAACTGGCTACATTTGGAAAGATTTGGGTTGGGGGTTGGAGCAGAAAAACGCGCGGGTAGACGATAGTGCGATCTCAAAGGGCTTCGGGGGTAACTGGTCACGCGCGGCCGCGACTATATTCGGCAGGGGCTCACGTAGCGGTATCTAGCTTGGAGAATAGAGTCATCGCGCTATAGGTTGAATTAATTTGACTTTGAATAGATTCTAATATACTACGGAGTCACGAGAACCAGGCTTGCTATTGAAATGATTTGAAGCTTGCCGGGCAGAATACGTTAGTACTGGTTTGGGACCACAATTTCCGAATTGAAAAAACGGACGACGTTCCGGATTACTTATGTAGCCAGCCACCTGCTAGCGGCAGGCGATGGCGGTAATAACTGCAGTGGGACAGCTGGCCAATAAGTTAATGGCCGTTTTTTTTCAAGATCGTGGAAGAAGTTTGTTCAAATCTGAAAAGTTTGGTGAAGCAGGGCTGACATCGTGTGGGGGAGCGAAGTGTTTCTCGGGAGGGGGTTAGATTATCAAAATGTCAAATTACAATTAGAGATTTTCAACTGGTTACACATGAAATTTCCAATAGAGGCAATTGTCGAAGATGTACATATTTCGGATCCGACTGTCACTTTCAAAGTATTCGAACGAGGAAGAAAAGTGTCGACAAAGCTTGACTGATACTCACGCAAGCGTATTTATTGGAGAGCTGATTTGCATGTTTGAGCGCTATTCCTGAACGGAGAGAGTATTGGCAGAACCAAGAAGAATGAATGGGGGTGATCATTTTAGCATCCGCGTTCAGGCGTGGGTGATCGTTCGCTGTTTCAAACAATAGAGTATGACTTTTGAAGGTAATGGACAGCGGCGGGAGAAGGTCAGATACGACATGATGGACGATGGAAGAGCTGGAGGGCGGAGCGGACGAAGGGGCGTTAGTAGGGGATGGAGGGAGCGAGCCCACATGCGACCGCGTGGAGCGAACTCTCCGTCTCGAGGACGGGGCCGGTGGGTATGAGTGCATTGGACCGAGTAAATGGCAGCAGGCGGCGGGCTAAAGGTGCCTATGCAGAAAGCGTGCTCGGCGACGAGCCGCGGGGTGTTGAGCGCCTCGACGTCATTGAACCTACGGCTTGCCCACTGAGCTGAGGGGCCTACTGGGGCAATGCATCGAGACCTAGGGCGCATCGGATGACGCAATGAGGGGGAGGTGAATCACGCTCGGAAGGTCGCGCAACTCAAGGTGGATTTAATTTCGTGGGATTGGTTGGGGATAAAGCGAGAGAGTGATCACCTAAGTTCTCAATGTGCCTGTCGGAAACGTAAATAGTAGGTGGAGAAGTGGAGGATCACTGATGGACCTACGTAACTTTGAGGGGAGACACATATAGAAAATGTGTCGCAGAGATGGCTTCTTCAAGGTGTTGGTCTCAGCGGTGGGAGTGCATACTCGCCCCATCAAACAATACGCTCAAATGAGACCAATACGCCCCACTGTTGCTGTAACCTGCGTTACGAATTTGATGACCCTCCCCTTCCGAGGCCGCTTATCGTATCTTATCAACTGTTATCACTTTCTGTCGCCCGCCAATAATGTTCCCGTCCCACACCCTATCACCTCACGGATCTGAGGTCCCACTGTTGCTGTAACCTGCGTTACGAATTTGATGACCCTCCCCTTCCGAGGCCCCTTATCGGATCTTATCAACTGTTATCACTTTCTGTCACCCGCCAATAATGTTCCCGTCCCACACCCTATATCACCTCTCGGATCCAAGGACCCACTGTTCCTGTGAGCCGCACTATGAATTTGGTAGTCCTTCCCTTCTAATGCCCATTATCAGATCTTATCAGCTGATATCACATCCTGTCACCTACCAATAATGTTTTCGTCCCACCCCCTATTTCACTGCTCGGAACCAACGTCCCACTGCTGCTGTGGCCCGCACTATGGACTGGGTGACCATCCCCTTTGGACGCCTCTTATCGAATCTTATCAACTGATATCACATCCTGTCACCCACCAATGGTGTTCCCGTCACACCCCCTCCATCACTTCCTGGAATCAACGTTTCTCTGCCACTGGGACAGGTGTTATGAATTTCGTGACACACACACACACACACAGACACACTTAGCGGATTATATATAGTAGGATAGGTACAAGGATTCCGCCTATGTCCTAACCAGGGAGGTCCTAGTGACCTTTTTGGAAACGTTATCGCATGCTGTAGAAGTCCATGCATGGGCTACAAGGTATGGTTCGTTTTAGCTGAGCATTACCGGGAATGGCAAAAGAAAAGTAAAAAGGAATCGATTAGAGTGGAAGAGTTCGACCACCTTATTTGGCTCTGTTTCAGTTGTAGCGTGAAGTATGTATAGTTTGTGAGGTGTCCTTTAATTGGCATGAAAATCAATGCAAAACAAGGTCGAATCCAAGTTCCTTACCTGCTATGTGGGGGAAGAAGTACTGAAAATTCTTCAATATGTGCCCGTATCCTGCCCGCCGCAGTGCAATGGGTGGTGTGGTAGATAGCGCGACTCTCAAACGGTTGGTTAGTTTGTGGATCGGATCCGTCTGGGGACGGATTTTTACAGATTCTCACCTTTATGTATTCCTGTGTGCCTAAGGATGTGTATAACCCAGGTATATGCCATTCAAGTGCTCATTCTATACAATAATGGTTCACGAATGGTCCCTAGTCAACTACAGCGCTCTCGAAGTGCTATTAAAAAAACTCTTCCTTAACTTGGGTTACGGCGGTTCTCCGATGCTCTGATTATATATACAGTCCCCATTATGGCGCGAAGTGTCGCCAATTTGGTGCAAGAGCTTTCTGGCATCAAAATCATTGTTAATCTGTGCGCAGAGGCTATTTAGCGTCATGCTTACCCGAAATGGCTTAGCGTCAAAAGAGGTTGAGAATTGTGATCGGAGCCATCATTTACCCCTGTATACAAAAAACCAGCAAAAAATGTTTTTTGAGCTTCTTGTGTCATGATGGCTGAACATGTCCAGTCGTGACCATCATCTCCTCTATAAGTTGTTTCAATCTCGTTAATTGGAACTACTCTTCACATACGGACGCATAATCAACAATTATAGAGTCCGAAAAAGGAAGGCCACATGCATGCTGCACTCCATTTATACCCGAAAGGTCGAAGAGAAAGAAGTTATCTTTCCCCAGCAGGAGGTACCGAGGCCTTTCTTAGAAGCCTACGCGGAAGAAGAGAAGGAAGATTCAGAAGGCTTGTTCAGGTGCATGATTGGTTTTGCCGCTGGCCTACACGGTAACGAAGATGTGAGAGTGTGGGTGTTATTGTCATCCATATGGTTGATCCATTAACAGCAGAAGAGTTCAGAATTTTTTGCTGAAAGTTCGTATACTAGTGGTAATACATGGCCTTGATCACGATTCTGACATTTATTCCTGGTGCCGAAGCCATTTGGCGCCACCATAGCGCCAAATACCACCCTGCGTGAGGGAAGGGATGCAGCGGATATACTGAAGGAACTTTAATGTACATCACTGCATGCCAAGTGACGCTCTTGGTCTTTGACTTTATTCCGGGCTGTTTCTCATGTCTGGACTATGAAAAAAATCTTCGTAAGTTATACATACTCAACGCTATAGCTACAACAGAGCCAAATCTGATGGTTGAAATCCCCATTCTAAGCGTTTTTACTCCTTTTTCGACACTCCCAGTAATGTTCAGCGAAATTGAACCACACTGTGGCCCGTGCATGGTCCCCTACACAGTCGTTTCCAAAAAGCTCACGATGTCTTGAACGACCCCCCCCCCTTGTATGAACACAGCATTTGAGCATTTAATTATTTAACAGCAGCTAACCAAATACACCGTTCCGTTTTGCAAATTTCTTGAAGTCCTATTAAGACTAGGGAGTTGGCTGGAAGGCCTGAAAAGCGAGCACAAAAAGCGAAGGCTTTTTTTCACCTCAAAGAAGTCCGTTCACCTACCCAACACTTCTTCTCTTTGACTAGACAAAATCCTTGCCGCCCGGCTTACAGTCGCTTCTTCAATTTTCCAACACTGTACGCCGTCCATTTGGAGGAACTGTGTGAGGAAGAGATTTGGTTTCTTTTCGTTGTTTCGGTCACTTCCAACACACTAAGGAACTACACTTTTTCTTGAGACCTCACCACCAACGACACAATCCTGGACGGTATTTTTAAGGACGACAAGAATGCGTCTTAGAACACATAAACTTCCTGTGCTATTTCTTCCCACTTATTCGACGGGAGAACCATTCCTTACATTTTTCTCTGAAATACGTGTATGCTAGTATACTGTAGGTACAAGAACACGTAAATCTAGGGCATGCAAGGCTTCAGAGGCTTACTCCAGAACGACCCCTGTTTTCCTTCACGGACTTCCATACGAAGTGGCCCTAATGTCAAAGGGGAGAAGTGCTGGTGGATGAATCAACTTTTTTGAGATAAAAAACTTTCTATCTCTGTGAGAAGCTTTTAGCTACCCCGAAGTGTTTATGGGACTTGAAGGAGTTTACAAAATGGAATCATGTATTTAAATAGTTAGCTCGTGTTCGTAGGACACAGGCGGAATTGAGCTATCTGTTGCCAGAATCCCTACAAAGTTGCTGTCAATTTCGTCTTTGTTCATGCTTTTATTTTTGATAACGTTCTTCAGCTTTGCTTAGCCATGTAAGAAGGCTCACCAGTTTTCTCTCGTGGATTGTAAAGGTACTTGCGAATTATGTGCTTATTCGAAATCCTTGGAAGACAGCGAGATGACATGAGATTCTGATTGAGCCAAGTCTTAGATCCCTGTAAGTTTTATTGCGCTTATGTACGATGCACGGGACATTACATTTGGCCGTACTCGATTCTGCTGCGCTTGGGGAATTAATTCAAGCTTGCCAGCAGCTGATGGAATCCAAGCACTTCCATGCAGCGTGTCTGCGCCGCTAGTTGCATTTTAGGCGGAGTATGGAGGAATTAGTTCATGCCACGGTCCTGGATCCCCATCCCCACGTCGATACGGACGGAGAAACCACTACGCTTTGCCAACTGATGGCCCGTTAGCCCCGGACATGCCAAGGACGCACCTCGCAGCTGAGCGTGCGTTGTGTCTTTGAACTTCCCTTTTTTAAACCACGGTTCAGTCTCGAAGTAATTATTCGCATTTGATGTGCAGTCGTCCATGCTACATCTTACATTGTTCCCTTACATGATTACGATTTTTTTTATTCCATTCTTTTTCGTGAGGTACAACATGCATGATGAGACAACAATCACGAATAACAACCTTAAAGTCAAGAACAGTATCAAGCGTCATTATCACATCCCACGCTGCCTAATGTTGATAGAGTAGCGTGGGCATGCAGGAAAATGGACTCAGAATTGGAACCGGGCTCAACTAGGTTTTTCGAAAACCCCAAGGTAGATCTCCATTCGAACCTCAAGAAAACAGCAATAGATACTGGATTCTTTCGAATATATCACTTGAAATACTGCCAAAACTCCCAGTATCTTCGCCTTACAATATCTGTTGAGGACAATACAATCGGCTCCATGCTGGGGCGGTCCAGGTTGTCAAAGCAGTATGCAATATCATTATCACAGCATCAACTCCCAATAAATAATTCGAGATTGAATGACAACCTTAACAAGGGGAGCTTATGACGAAGTAGGAATGGAAAACAAGGAAAAAGGCGTAAAATATCAGAAGAAGGTAACTGCGGCAGGCAGACCGAGCGCGCTTGTAACTGTAGTGCGTTAGAGCTCGACGAAGCGCTGTGACGAGGACGTCGCCAAGTCTGAAAGCTGCCTAAGCACGCGACTCGTACGCTCACTGGTGAGTCTTTCCGTGGAGCTGTTGAAGCATGATGACTAAACAGCATCCTCGGCTCTCCTCACTTTGTGCGCCTGCGTCTCTCATCTCGACTTGGATCTCGTTGTGCTGTATCTGCCCCGTCAATAATGCTCTGCTAGCTGCGCAATGCTGCTACTCGAAAGTAACGCTCCACACCCCAGCAGACGGTACGCAATAGGCTGTTCCTTATACAGAGTTCCGAATAGCGGTATATTTAAGATGAACCTGGGTATGGTAGGTCAATAATGTAAGTAATTATAACGACATCATGACATACCACCTGTTCAGCATTCGGAAAATGTGAAGCACACTGGTCAGCCCGCCACGACGGTATGTGCTACCGCCATTCGGGAACGCATCCAAGAGTGGGGTGGGCAGACGCACAGGTAGGTAACTTGCTTGAACAGCTGAAGAACATATTATGTGATTTGAGTGATGCTTTACAGTAACCAATGAAATATAGTACGTGTCACAATATGGCAAAATGAGAGGAGTGGAACGTTCATCGCGAACTAAATACCGCAATATTCCGAGTAGCATCGTCGGAAAAATCGACTCAGAATTGAAACCGAGCTCAACTAGGCCCTTAGAGCGCGTTGGGGCAGACCTTCATTTGATTGGTTGCAATCGTATTTGACAGGTTTTCGTTCCCATTCCCAAAGGCACGGGTTCTACTGCAAGATGAGCGATATCACGTCCGGCATATGGCACGTCTTACCACATGCAAGCTCGCATTCGAAATTTTTGGTCACGCATTTTCTAAACTTTTTTTCTCTAAAAAAACAAGGTAGACATAGAAAAAATATATCAAAAGATGCGCAATAAAAACCTCATTCCTGCTGCTCTTTCCCCTTTTCTGAATGAGCCCTACGCTTGGAACCCTTCCCTCGGTCTCCGTTGCGCTCGAACACGACCACACGTCGTTGTGATTTCCACAACAACGGCGTGCGCTGGTTCACCTTCGTCTCCCGTTCGCGACTGCGATGTTACAAATTGTATATACCGTTTCAAAACATATATTACTTTGGAAGCTTGTTTCATCTGCTTCTCGCAAAACAGTTGTTATAGCCAAGGCACTCAAAATCGTCATTCATTTTTCGGCAACCCAAAACTTTATTGATGACGAAAATGAACCGAAAACAAAACTGGCATCTTGTTCAGGAACGATGTGGTCAAATGCAGGCAAATCTAGCCAGCATACGTACCCGAGAGGATTATGAGTATATGTCGAGTTAGTTCACTTTATCATTCTGAAGGAAGGTTTCGCTGATGTACACATTAATGTATCCGTTAGACTACAGAGCTCATATCCACATCCAGAAAACTGTACGTAGCACGTTCAAATTTTGGAAGGGATTTTGAAACAATTCCCGACTTGATCACTACACAACCATTCGCTAAGTCCAACTCATTACAGTGCGTAACAAAAGTATGTGGACACCTCAAATTTTTGTCCTGCAAAATTGCCTTTGAATTTTGCGATATGAGACCTTTATTGTTGAATTCCTCATAAGCGAAAACATAGGAATACACTACTTCTGAGCACTTTGTGAACTACTGTACAATTATTTATTGTTTTGAAAAAGTTTCTTAATAACAAAAGTATGTGGACACTTAACAAAAAACAAATGTATCGTGGAAAATAGAAGTTGGTTTTCCTCCAGTGTTCACTGTTACTTCAAACATTCTGTCTGGTATGCTGTGGGCAAGATTTGTGATGATATCGTCGATTTCTTCACAGAACTACGGCCTCCTTCAGATCTCGCACGCTGTTGTACTGCCGACTGTTCATGTAGATTCGTCAAACCATGATCCCCCACAGGTTTTCGGTTGGGTTGCAGTCAGGAGAACACGCCGGCCAATCCAATCACTTTGATACCATTGCGTTGGAGCCATTTTATAGTAGAATTTGAAACATGCACGGCGGCGTTGTCCTGCTGCAGCACATGTGTCCTGCGTCGTGGCCCACTCAGAAAAGGCAAGAGGTTAGACTCAAGCACTCCTTGGTATTCCTGACTTCATACGGCACGATGGGAAGGCAAGCTCCAACTTTCCGCTGCTTCCAAAACCACCCCATACCATGAAAGAGTCGCCTCCGAAATTTCGCCTCGAGAACACCAACGGGTCGCGACGAAGGTCTCTCCAGTAGTGCCGATATCCATCCGAACCGCTCAGACCTCAACAGTGACGATAACCCAATAACGAAATGTTCATAAGATGTTGTCGCCAAACTTTGGATTTTCTCAGGTGTCCACATACTTTTGGTACAAACAAGGAAATTCTATTCAAAAATATGTTACGAAAACAAACCTTCGTTATTGCTCGAGTGCCCAATTATAGGGTTATCGGCCACGAGGAATCGATTGAGGAAGGATCCAGATCAAGAAAGTGTTTTGGTTACATTTTGAAACTAGATTTTGAGGTGTCCACATACTTTTGTTACGCACTGTATAAATAAAATCAAGCTAAAGAGGGACCGCCTGGCCTGTCTTATCTCATATTAGGCCATGTCGCCACGCACGGGATCACTTCGATTCGAAGGCGTCGCTCATAAAACTGAATCGTGAGAATTCTAGCTAAACTAAAGATCTCAATGCTAAAAATTATCTTACTATCATGTGTGAAAAAGTACAAAGCTGTGAAGATACTTCTTGTTAGTGTGGATCGATTAGGGAGTTCCGTCTCAAACTCTTCTTCAGGCCGTCGCTGAATCTTAATAAGCGAAACGCATCCTCTCACTTATGTTATATCGTACTAGAAACAAGTGGCCGACAGCAATTTACATGAGAGTGGTTGGATGAGGGAGAAAGTGATGTAAAATAATTGACTTGTTACTGACTTTAGCAGACTGCGAACTTTAGCAGAAATGAAAATTAGCAGTATGCGAGTCTATAGGGGAGAGCCGACATCGTTGTTGTTCGGGGAGAATAATAGAGAAGTCGCAGCGACTGCGATTACGGCTGCGACTGCGCAGCGATTATGTTGCTGACAAGTCATGACGTTGGACTATAGGGACATGTTAGTTGAGAATCGATTGCGATATATTAGGTTGGCTAATAAGTAATGGCCGTTTTTTCAATTGAAAAATTTGTTCGAAAAGTGAAATGTTTTGCAAGCAAGTTATATATCATCTGATACTGCTGTACATAAACATCTCTGTAAACAAACCACATGCATTTAATAAGAGAGCTAGCTTAGCGGTCGTACATGATGTCGTTACTAATAAGCAGTGAGGAATGAGTTCTGTTGGAATCACTGAGATCGTTATACTTGAGTCATATCGATCGCATTGTTGTTGTGAGCGGTGAAGCGGATTTTCCCATGTTACCTTGTCACTTTTAGCTCCTATCACTTCCGTACCCGCCAATAATATTCTCGTCCCGTATCACTATCATATCATCCTCTAGCGCCTCTCGGATGAATTGGCGGCTTTCGAGGAAGATTGCAGAAATAGTACAGTATCTCGGTTTCCAGCCCTCGTCATCATCTGATTCGTAGCTTGCAGCATGGACAACGCAGCAGTTGTAATCCGCATCAACTGTCTGCGTTTTAATCGTATTCAAAAGAGCAAACTGCCAATACTTGGCAAAGTGCCAAAAGCATGTTGCGCGCGGCGCTCCTGGCACTTTGCCAAGTCTTGCGATGCCTCGTGCACCGTAGCAAGCGCAAGAAGGTCTAATAAGACCAGGGGGGGGGTGCTCAATCACTACCTCAGGTCATCTCGCTCCATTCCAAAGGGTTCGCGTAATCACATTATTATCGATTACCTTTGCAAACCACGAGAGAAGTCTGGTGAGCTTTTACAGCAGAGGACCATATGCTAAGATGACATGGTTCATATGTGCATGCAAAAGTGATACAAGGAAATATAACGTTAAGGAGTGGGATCGAAAATGAAAGCACGAGAAAAGACGAGATCAACAGCAACTATGCAGGAATTTTAATAACTAGTCGGATCGCCAGCTGTCGCCGGGCGCTCCTCCTTCTGTGACATGGCCCGGCTTCGCCGGGCCATGCGGATTTGCCGCGTGCTAAGTTAAGGATCGTTGACCAACCACACTGTTCAAAGGAATCTTCTGCATCAGCCAAGAACTGAAAAGCAGCGCTTGTTCCGTCAAGACGCAGAAGCAGCAGCAGCGCCCCCGCATCACAGGAGGAGAGCCGGCTTTAGCCAGCGATCCGACTGGTACGTTCATAACCTACACGGGAATAGTGCAGCCTGTTTGTTACTGAAGCAGCCTATAATTTATGCATTCTGTCCTCCTAAAGCGTCTTGCTTTGGAATGCACTCCCATCAGCAGTGGAACCCTTTAAATGGCCCTCACTAAGGTTGTTGATGGAAGATAATTGTGGTAAGAGTGCTTAAGTCAATTG